AGCCGGCCTGTATGTGGGATCCGAACCCTTGGACGGGAGCGCCACCGTGCTTCCCAAGCGGCGCACTATCCAGTGCGCCACCGGGCCGGCCCGAATTATAGCTATTACTAATTGCATTGAATGGCTGATAAGAATGAAATCTGCAATATTTACTAATGAGCTAATCCACGAGAAAACTGTAATTCTGACAGTGAGATGGAGTCAGGGGAGATGAAGAGGAGGAAACGAGGAGAGAAGAGAACTGGAAAAGAAAAGATGGGAGGTAAGACACTCTCATATCAAAACATTCTTGGGGTCAAAGTATTTTGCATGAAAAGCAATAAAGGATATTCATTAGGTATTAGTTTTTCAAAGTGAAAAACATCAAATAAGAGAAAATTAAAAAATAAAACAACTCAAAAATGTTCTCATTTATTTGGCCAGGTATTACCCTACTTAAAGTTATATAGTATGTAATAAAATTATGAATTAATGAATCATGTAAGTAACCTGTCAAATTCACAAGATGGTTTTCAAAAAATAAAGAAGAGTATTTTTTGTTTGTTCCAATTAAACATAGTGTAATTTTATTAAATTAATTTAAAATAGAGAAAAAAGAAAAATATAATCTCGTAACCCTAACAAAACCACTATTAACATACTATGAAATTCTGTGCAAGCCTTTTTGTTGTTATTCATTTTTTGAACATTAGCTAGAATTTCTTATTATAGAATTTACTATTATTATATTTTATAGAGATAATAGAAAGCATCTCTGCAACACTATAATAAATGTTTTTTTCTTTACCTCTGACCAAACAACTCTACTCCAAATGTCTTTTTTTTGGAGTTTAGACAAAACATTTTCACAATGAAAACCACTAGCAAAACTATCTGTATTATTCTACTGCTAAAGAGAAAACAGACTTCTGGATCTATGTAGACATGCTTTTTAAAACTCTGAAGTAAAATTGAAAAGTACGATAAAAATAGATGACACGGTCTTTAAAGAATTAGGTTACAAACATATAAAACAAATACTCATTACCTCTAAATTTGGATTCCTCAAATCTGCTTTCCAACCAAACTGTTTCATAAGAGCAATTCCAATTACTCTTCCTGCTTCCTGGAAAAGTAGCAAGTTATGGAAAAGATAAGAATACTAAATGAAAATGAAAAACTCAAGTTTAAGCATAAGCAAAAACTAACAGAGCCTGTATGAGAATCAAGTCAGACTATCTGATGGTAATTCACGGTTGCAATATTAAAATATTACACTAAGGCATTTTCTATTCAAGGCAATAAAGCTGCGTTTTCCCTCCCCCACCCGTTCGCTCATCTGTAATTTCCATTCTTGTAATTTTAGGTACATGAAATAACCAGATCACAACCTAATAAATATGGTCATTCTGGGTTTTGGGAAACGGACGCAAGCTGAAAGGTTAACTATTGAGACCGCATGTATATTTGCGTATTTGTAGTCTAGGTCCCAGTGACAATCCCACTACAAGGCCTGATACAGAGTATCCACTCAATAAGCATAAAATTGAACTAAAGACAAATCCCAAAAGCTTAGGGCCATGATATCAAGATTTCTAAATGCACAGGACATCTATGAGTCTTTAGGCAGGAAGGAGAAGGTCATTACACGCAGAGGCAGACCATTCCTCGTAATCACCTGAGGTAAAGTTAAAAAAGAAAATGCATTTTTAAAAATACTTAATTAGGGCCGGCCCGGTGGCACACTGCTACAGTGCGCCGCTTGGGAGTGCAGCGGTGCTCCCACCGAGGGTTCGGATCCCACATACAGACTGGTTCCCGCTCACTGGCTGAGCGAGGTGTAGGCGCGACACCGAAGGTTGCGATCCCATTGCCGGTCCCGGTCCGGGCGCGACACTGAGGGTTGTGATCCGTTGCCGGACACGAAAAAAGACAAAAAAAAATAATAATAAAAAATGGGCGCGACACTGAGGGTTGTGATCCGTTGCCGGACACGAAAAAAGACAAAAAAAAAAATAATAAAAAATAAAAAAGACAAAAAAAAATAATAATAAAAAATAAAAAAAATAAAAATAAAAATACTTAATTATATAAGAACTAATTATCCATCTGGGCTTACTTATCTGTTCTGTAGGAGGTTCACAGCTCATTTTAAATCTAAGTAATCAACTCTTTTAGGAAACAGGATCCCACTTTGGGAGGTAAGCATACCTGTGAAGTAAAGGCCTTTCTAATAGCTCCACTGCAGCGACAAGAAACTCTGAAAGTCAGGTCGTTCTGGTTAAGAGTATTAGTTGTTTTCTTTACATCATTCTGAAATTCTTCTTGAAATTTTTCTCTCTTAGTGATAAAATCCCTTTGCTCCAATGCTTCTTGGTCTATTTGTTTTTCCAGTTGGCATTCCCAGTGCTCTTCTATCTTCTGCATTTGTTCTATCCTTAATTTCTTTGCAACAATGATTTCATTTTCTACCACTTTTCTTTTTAGTGAGTTAGCATCTCTTTGAGAGAGTTTTTCCTTTTTTGCATCAGGTTCAAGAAGATTTTTCCAAATTGACATGGCATTCAACCAACTTCCTGGATCATCATTTATAAGTCTTTGCATTTCATTAAATATTTTTCCTAAATAAATAAAATCTGTTAATCCTATATTGAAGCTTTAAAGACCATCCATTACATTCATTGCTCCCAAATTCCACTAGCTTTATTTCTTTAAAATAAGTTTTTTTTTTTTTTTTTCGTGACCGGCAACGGATCGCAACCCTCAGTGTCGCGCCCGGACCGGGACCGGCCACGGGATCGCAACCCTCGGTGGTGCTCCCGCACCTCGCTCAGCCAGTGAGCGGCCGGTCTGTATGTGGGATCCGAACCCTCAGCAGGAGCGCCCCCACGCTTCCCAAGTGGCGCACTGTAGCGGTGCGCCCCCGGGCCGGCCCTAAAATTCCTTTAACCTTTTTTTTTTTTTTTCCGTGACCGGCAACGGATCGCAACCCTCAGTGTCGCGCCCGGACCGGGACCGGCCACGGGATCGCAACCCTCGGTGGTGCTCCCGCACCTCGCTCAGCCAGTGAGCGGCCGGTCTGTATGTGGGATCCGAACCCTCAGCAGGAGCGCCACCACGCTTCCCAAGTGGCGCACTGTAGCAGTGCGCCACCGGGCCGGCCCTAAAATAAGTTTTATTAAATTGCTATATATGAATAACTTCACTTTCATTTGTAATTTACATAATTTATCATAAAAATACTGGGTAGAATAATGTTCATTCTTATTTTACATATATAGCACCCAAACTGTATTAAAATTCCTATAGGAGTACCATGTAATACTTTAGCAAGATCATTTGTCCTATAATAATATATGTATCTCTTTAATATATGCACAGACCTACAATGTACATCAATCTTTGAAATAATAGTAATCTTGCCTATAAAAATTAAGTTTTAAAAAAGTAAATAAACTGCAAAACACAGAGCTCAGTAACAGAGCAGCTGAATCTTGGGTCTATTTCATTTTAGATCATGCTATATTAGCATATATCTTAAAATGAATTTCTATAAAGTAACACTTTAGATATGCAACCCATTCATTCAGTCTTAGGGACTGCCAGTATACTCAGCAAAATGTAATCTTTTCTTAATGAATGAGAGTGTATGGAATACTTGGAGGAAATTATATTGGCCCCACAGTATAATACCTTGGAATTTGCTTTACCAATTTTTTCTGTCCCATCTTGATATCTTGTTCTTTTCTTAATGAATGAGAGTGTATGGAATACTTGGAGGAAATTATATTGGCCCCACAGTACAATACCTTGGAATTTGCTTTACCAATTTTTTCTGTCCCATCTTGATATCTTGTCATTTGTATCTTTCTTAAAATAGATTATAGACTATATAATTACATAATTTCTTGTGCACAATAGGCAATCAAGTGATCCACCACTAAGAATCAAATTGAAGTTTAATGCAGTGTTTACTCCTGCAAGTGGACAGTTTTCACCACTTTATTATTAAAATAATGCATTTTGGGTTATTACATGTTTCTAAATCTCAATAAATGCAATTGAACATTCATATCTGTAGAAAAGGTACCTGATCATAATTCTCAAAAAAGAAATGTGGCTTAGGACACTAAAATCTCAGCAGCAGGTTGCAAAGAGAAGAGACAGATTCTACCACAATCAGGTGATAATATTCAGGAAATACAGAAAAATGCATAATTAAGGATCCGATACATATGAATGCATCTTAAAAATGTGAAATGACTGCATATTAATTATCAAAATTCTGGAGTACAATATATCATGGGGGTAAAAGCAATAGGCATATACAGTACCTTTACTTACAGAAGAAACAGTAAGTGCAACCTGCTTTTTAATCAGCAAAAATAACCTCTCTGCAGATTTTAATTTCTTCAGCGTATTCAAATCACAACAGGTGGTGAAAAAAACCTTTCCTGAAATATATTCAACCTAGAGATAGAAAACAGATATTAATGTAGTCTAGTGTTAGAGAAGAATCATTTCCTTTTCCCCCCTTAATCAATTAAAGCTGCATCTAGATTAACAATACTATGCTATTTGTCAAGCACTGTACTAGGCACTCTGGATACATATTATTTTCTTCACATCCCTATAACAACCCTCTAAAGTAGATTTTATCACCCCCATTCTTACACATTAGGAAACTGAGGTTTAGGCAGGTTAAATAATTTGTATAAGGTTACATAGTCAGTGACCAAGATCATAGTTTTCCTCTGTTATGTTTCTTATCGCAAAGCACACACATACCTACACGCACACTAATAGAAAACTAAAACACAGTATACTGTGTTTGGGAATTACATTACCAAACCTCATTTACTCTTTAGAAGTGGGGAAAAGAAAGATATAAAGAATTGGACAAATTAGGTGTCTAGCCCAAGGTATTTATTAAAACACCTGCCTGTGGTCTACTAGGAGGCATACAGAATGTAACCAGAATAATAATGTAATAGACATATAAATTAAAATGTAAAATTTATAAGACAATAACTTGAATTAAACCCAGAAGAAAACTAAAAAGTTTTAATATTATAATGTATTGATAAGCTGTAGGTACAATAAGTAGCACTGAATATAAAAGCCAACATTATTGAAAGTCTTGGGGAAGAATCCTATAAGATTTGGGAAGAGGGATTCTAACAAAGACTAAGGGGCAGATGCAGAGTGGGAGTGCAAAGCTGGCTGAAGTAAACTACAGGTGGGCTTGGCAGCATTTGCTGTATTATGCTGACTGGTAGAGTCAGGAGGATGGATGGTATAGTTTAGGTCAGCTTGATAAATGGTCATGAAATTTTGAGCACATAGATGGTAACAGTTAACCATTATAGACTTTTGATGAAAACTGTGACAGCACTGAAATAGCTAGCAGGAAAAATTACTTTGGAAGAGGCATAAAAGGCAGAGTGTAGAATATGATGCTAGAGGGAGAAGTAGATTACAGAGGTAGAAATGATGAGACACTTGGCTGTGGGGACTGAATAATAGATAGAAGGTATGGCCAGCACACAGAAACAGGCTTTGGGGACAGGCTGGATATGTGGTAAAAGTCAAGGAAGAAAGGAAAATGAAAAGAACACAGACTCATAGGGGGCCTAACGTGCAATGACAAATGGTGCTCAATACCAATGGAATCCTAAATTTTATGGGTCAACCCAACTCTCTTAAGTTCAGGATAGAAGAGAATTGTCTTGGAATTCTTTTAGCAGTGGCCAGGGGCTGACTAATATGGTTCTAAGTTATTTCGTAGAACTAAGGCACCAAGGAATTTGGGGTATCCCATGTGTTTAGGTGGCTGTCATTGATGGGAACTTGAACCGTAGCAATTTTTTGTTTGTTTTTGGGGGTCTGACATGGTTGAATTAGCTTTTGGGATGGTAATTTCTGGGGTTACTACTCCAGGTTGATGAAGGAGAATCTTTGTCAAAGAAGCCCTAGGTTGTCACCAATTAAAACCGAAGTAGCTTAAACACCAGCAATGCAGCTGACCAAGATAGATGGAGGAACAGATGATGACATCATGGGGAGAAACAGGGAATGAGAAGAATGTTTAGGAACCAATATTTAAGGAGACAGTGAAGTAAGCAAAACAATAACTTCTGGTTTCTAGGATTTATTATTCTTATTACATAGGTGACATTTTTTCAGAACTAAATATATACCTCAAAATGACCAATATTTAAGGAGACAGTGAAGTAAGCAAAACAATAACTTCTGGTTTCTAGGATTTATTCTTCTTATTACATAGGTGACATTTTTTCAGAACTAAATATATACCTCAAAATACTTTGAACTTGAAAGCCAAGTTTTCAAAAGTCAGTTTTTAAAAATCTAGCTGGTGTTACCTGACAAGAATATAGCAGATATTAAAACCATCACAGAACAATTAAACAGACATGAAATAACTTGCCAAGATTCTGGGGGAACTGAATTGTAGTCATCCCTTGGTATATGCAGGGGACTGGTTCCAGGACCCTCTGGGGATAAAATCCCCAGATGCTCAAGTCCTGAAGTTCATCCTGTGCAAACCCTGTAATATGTAAAGTCAGCCCTCATTATCCATGGGTTCTGCATCTTGCTAATACTGTATCTTCTCTCCTTTTTTTGTGCTCAGTGGTTTATTGTTATTTTAACATTTATTTGTACATACGTGTGGGGTACAGTGTGTTGTTTCAATACATGCATATATTGCACAATGATTCACTTAGGGTAGATAGCACAGTTTTGTATCCATTAGTCCACCACTTCTCTCCCCCCCTCCACTCCACGCCCCTCTGCTCCCATGAGAGTGAAGAGACAAAGTGAAGAGACAACCTACAGAATGGGAGAAAGTGTTTGCAAATGACACATCAGACAAGGAGCTAATATCCAGAATATATATAAGGAACTCAAACAACTCAACAGCCAAAAAAAAAAAAAATCCCCCAAAAAGCCCAATTAAAAAATGGGCAAAGAACCTGAACAGACGTTTCTCAAAAGAAGACATGCAAATTGTCAAGCATATGAAAAGATGCTCAAAATCACTACTCATCAGGGAAATATAAATTAAAACCACAATGAAATACCATGTCACCCCAGTTAGAATAGCTATAATCAACAAGACAATAAGTAACAAATGCTGGTGAGGATGTGAAGAAAAGGGAACTCTCCTACATTGCTGATGGGAATGTAAATTGGTACAGCCATTGTGGAAAACGATATAAAGATTCATCAGAGAATTAAAAATAGATCTCCCTTATGATCCCGATATTGCATTACTGGGTATATACCCAAAGGAAGTGAAATCAATATATCAGAAAGATACCTGCACTCCCCTCCCATGTTCATCACAACACTATTCACAATAGCCAAGAGATGGAATCAATCTAAATGCCCATGAAAGGATTAATGGACAAAAGAACTATGGAATACCGTATTTTCCATCCACAGTTAGTTGAATCCACAGATGCAGAACCCACAGATATGGAAGACCAACTGTAGTATTTACTGAAAAGAATCCATGTATAAGTGGACCTGTGCAGTTCAAACCTGTGCTGTTCAAGAGTCTACTGTAAATATTTTACTGATCATGTATTGTTTCAAGATTCAAGTCCTATAAACAAGTAAATTGATGCAAATGTTTGGTCCAGAGATTTTAACTTAAACAGTCAATGATCTAGACATCAATCTATAGTTACTTAATTGTACAAAGATCTTTTTTCACTCATTTGAATGTCTAGGGCAACATTTTATATAATGAGCTTTCGCTAAAAATATCCTCTCTTGGGGGGAGGGGGGACAGTGAAGATTTCCAAAAAGAACATGACTATCAAGTTAATTAAAAGGACCTAAAAAGTTTAATTTATTTAGGGCTTCAAATCCTAAGAATATTATGTGTGGATGCACTAAAATGCCAAGCACATTCTCAAAACCAAAAGCAGCAACATTACTCTCTCTATTCAAGAACTAAAATAAAGCCTACATTCCTTTTACAAGTAAGCATATAATCAGAAGTAGTTTACTAAATTGTGAAACAGTCATTGTGAGAATCAAATAATTTTATATGTGAATGCACATTACCCCTTGGGAAGAGAGGTATTGTATCTTAAAGCATTAGGGAGAATGAATATTTTGCTGCTTATGATTTCAAAAACTGCTAAAATTAGTATTTCCCTTTTTCTTCAGTTTATTGCTTATAACTTATCACATTCAATTATAATATTTAGGGAGAAATGTGGCATTTTAGAATATTTCATACTTATATTTGTTACTTGAAAATTTATTTATATATATAATCTGTTTTTTCCACTTGGAATTAATTCATGATGAAGTATCTAAAACCAGCTGGTTTTATGTCTAACACTTCTGAAGATAAAATAACAGTCTTTATTAAAGTAATAACAGCTTTATTATCTGCTAGCACATCTTAGCAGTTAGCATTTTTTCCTTCCTTTTAAAATTCATGGATTCAAGTTTAATGCAAAAATTAAAAGTTTAAATCTAGGCAAAAATGTGTAGTAATATAGGGAGGTACCAAGGTTCTCCAAATTCTACAGATGTCATTTAGTTTCAGAACTAATTTTAAAGTGCTAAGAGATGAGTTAAGGTGGTGTTTGAGTTTGTTTTGGTTCATTTTAGAAGAGGGAATTTAAAAATATATTTTCTTTAACTTTTAAAAAGGCATTCAACCTGGGGCCGGCCCGGTGGCGCACTCGGTAGAGTGCGGTGCTTGGGAGTGTGGCGGCGCTCCCGCCGAGGGTTCGGATCCC